TGTCCCAAGTCAGGAGCCTATAAAAGTGTAATTCAGTGGTTGTCGTTTGTTTATGTGTTGCATATTTGTTATATTTGTTCATTTTTTTACATAAAATAGGCCGTTAGATTTCTTGTTTGAATTGTTTTACATTGTCATTTCTGGGCCTTTTATAGCTGACTGTGCAGTATGGGCTTTGCTCATTGTTGAAGGCCGTACTGTGACCTATAGCTGTTAATTTCTGTGTCATTTGGTCTCTTGTGCATGTGTGGAGAGTTGTCTCATTGGCAATCATACCACATCTTCTTTTTTATATTTACATCAACAGATATAAAAAATTCACCAAAGTCAAGGTGAGACAACAAAACTTAGTTGTAAGATCTCTGAAATTTTTTACAGGGTACGAGTTTTTCTCATTGTTGGAGATTGTACGGTGACAATAACACCTGTAACTGCTTAAACCCATTTCTTATGCACTTTAGTTTGATAAACTCACTGAATATCATACCACATCTCCTTATTTTTATATGCATTACAATTTACATGTGCATGTAATTGTAAATATATATATATCAGAACAAAATTCATTGCTTCACTTTTATTTATGCATCCTTTGGCACAATACAAGTTCTAAAATTACACAACATAAAACAACTAAATGTTATTTCAGATGAAAGTTTTGTTTCAGTTCCATTCATAGGATTTATTAGAATTTTGTATGTTTTGCCAAGTCCAATTATTCGCTCTATGTGACATAGAGACATAGTTGACTAAACCACCAGGTGTCGAACATTCAAGAATTTTCAGTGTTTCTGTTTTTATTTGATGAAAAGGTTGCCTGAGCTCTAGGAGCTTTAGGTTTTATCACGGGATATTCTGTGCTGTCAATAATAATCCAAGTCGTAGGAAACTTTAATTTGAAGTTGGATGGTGAAAAATACCTGACTAAACCACTAGATGGCCAAGTGTTAGCCTCACACCACTGTTTAGACATAAAAACAATCCATGTATACACAATATTCTTAACACTAGATTCAATCTAGAATCTAGACAGTTCAAAGTTGGTTGTATGATGCCTCAATTTCATCAAAGTCATAAAAAAACTGATTTTCAACTGACACCCTATCAATTTGAAAATATATGTACACTACAGCTCGGGTGGATTTTGCTTTGTCCACCGGCCCACCATGGGAGTGGGCACCGGGTGGGCAAAATTTGTACCTTGTCCACTCTGCCCACCTGTAGGAGTGGGCATTCAATTTCTTTTGTTTCATCTAAAGACTTGCAAGTACAATCACTTGAAAAAAGCAGATAAGCATTTGTAATCAATATTTTTACAAAAAAGAGATTATAGCTAGAGTGGGCACGGGTGGACTGCCCACGGTGGGCCGGTGGAAAAAGCAAAATCCACACGGGCTGTTGTGTATCTCAAACAATGTGCTGCTGGACCAAGTGTGGTCAAAACAAATAAAAATTTAGTATACAACTCTAAACCGGTATAAAAATGCATGGCTGTGTCAAGTGTCTACATAGGCATTGATGGTGTTTGCGTAATTCCATCTGTGAAGCTCAACATTAGCTCGGCAGTTGGTGGTGGACAGTCATAAATCCTTTCTGCAGTATGAATGACTTCTTCAGGAAAACCAACTTTACAATCAAAACTTTCCTCTAGATTTCTACTACAATATTCATCAAGTTTAGTTCTTTTGTTTTCACAGGAAACTGCCCTGATTTTTCTTTTTGCGGACGATTCAGTCTCTTGCTTGGTCCAGGAAAATAGGCTGGGAATTGCAGTAGACTTAAGTCTCTGTATGGTGGGTTTGCGCCCTGAAAAAGGTTATAAAACATTAGTTTTTTTATAATTAAATGAACTTCCATTAGCAATGTATACTTTGTACTACCTGGCGAAATATTAACTAGATTTATTCATTACAATCTGGATATAACTATGTTTGCCTGATTCAATGTATGTTATGTAAATCCAAAGGACAAACAATGAGAGACTTATGCAACAAACGTACATTGTTTGTACCTAAATAACTATAATATAGATGAGAGCATGTCATTGTTTTGTTCCTGTTAACATTGTCATTGATATTTTTCAAGAAAGTCTATGAGGCATAGCTTATGCATTCCTGTCATTACTATATTAGCATAATTACTGCTAAAATAATTCTCAGTATGATATACCTCTTGTAAGAAATCATTATAATTGTAGCAATCACCAAAAAATCTCAAACAGATCACATTGAATCGTAATCCAAAAAATTATGACGTCTTGAATTACCCACCCCCTTTTATTCTAAAACGATAATTGCGGTTGTAAACAGACTTTGGTTTATTCGCATGGAGATTACATATATAACTATATATTTCACAAAGAAAATAGAGTTTTACCATGAATAGTTTCCTGCACGTAGTCTTTTTCAGTAAAACGTGCCTTGCAAACAACAACTGATTGAGATGGACTCCACGATATCATCGTGTTCTCGTCCAATCTGCGTATGGGCCATGGCGTTGATCCAACTTTTCCTTCTTTTTAAGTCATTTGGAAATGCATGTCCTCCTCTTAAATGACATCCAGGTACACAACAACAAGTACTTGGCATCGTTAATTAAAAATATAACTGAAATAGTTGCACAGTGCAGAAACCGGAAGAAGAGGAACAGGATCCGCTACCACGGCGCCACCTATTCAGGAACGATAATTTGCTACTTTATATAACTGCGAAAATAACGTTAGACGGGTTCACGTGCATAAACAGAAATGCGCTTTAAATTGTATAATATAATTCATGTTCAGTCGACCTTTAATTATTATATCAACGACTGAAATGATTTATAAACATCTAGATTGCAGATAACACTCGAAATTAACCCGAGCTCTTTCCACACGGAATTCAAATAATTCTAGTTTGTCAATCGGTTGACTGCTTATAATGCAAAATACTAATATATCAAAAGTTTTTAAAACTAACAAAACACAATGATCGTTTCTCTATTTCCCAATGTAAATGAAATGAAACAAAAAACATTTTATATCGCAATAAGAAGAGGAGAGAATTCAACATTTCCGGATCTACTTGGAGTCTAATGACCCCCCACGTAGATAAGTTGGATATCGCGGAAGGAAGGATTAACCCGGCAACTAGAAAGGCATTAAAGCACTGCCTTTAAAAACACTACACTAATTTCTGGACCTATGGGTGGTACGGATGTGAAAATACGGACTGTCAAACAGAAAAATGGCCTATAAAACTTGCAAAAAATAATCTTGATGTTCATATAAACCCACTTGGAAGGCTTTACTATTCTTCAGCTATTTATTAAAAAATCAATTTTATTGTACACAAATTTTCATATTTATTTAAAAATTTCACCATGGCCAAAATGCGACACTAAACTTCTAACTTTGTATTGCTACCTTAAGGTGAAACATTTTTTTTTCAATTTCCACTTTCAATGGATTTCTGTGTTCTGCTAGCTAAAACGAGTAAATTGGCTTATTAGTTTTGAAAATTGGTTCAGAAATAAATATTTTATGAAGGTTTGCAGTTATCACTGAAATGCAACAAAATAGTGATTTGAAGAAACATGCCATGTCAAAGTGTAAATTCTACTTTTTTAGTTAAATTTCTAAAACTGTACCTCTTGTTTCAGTCTTTTCATGTTTAAAAACTTAAAATAACCTTTTCAGTAGACAAATTGTACAAATTAAAGCTATTTTAAAGCTCTAGAATTTCAATTTTGTTGTGTATAGCATACCAAAACCTTGGTTAAAATTTGACAAATACTGAATCAATTTCTAACAGCAGGGACAAATTTAGACTTAATTCATTCCAAATTGTAGCAATATACCTTGCTTAAAATATAATTTTCATTTATTCGCATGAAAAAATATAAAGCGTTCCATATTGAGGTTGCTACATAAAGCGCATTCTTTCTTTTACAAGGTGTAGCCAAAAGATAATGAATTTATGACCGAAACCAAGTCTCTGTGTCAAAATGTCTATATTGGTTGCTAAGAACAATAAACAACAAAATTAACATACCGGGTATATTGCCATCCTAAAAGATTTTTCTCCCTTAGACTTGGATCTACAATCTAAACATCAATAGATTTGTGGTATGATTTGTCTTAAAATAAGCAATTCTGTGCTTTCTCAAATGCCATAAGGTACTGGTAGCAATACACAGTAAGAAAATAAAACTTAAAAATGACACACATAATTTTTAACCACCCTCTTTTCCTTGCTTTTTAACAAATAAGGCTTAATGTTTGTGTTATGCATTTGTATATGGAAACCCCATCTTCCATAGATTTGATTTCCAATAGTTAAAATTATGAAATATAATATCTTTTCGGCGTAACCATGGCAACAATCTGCATTTATTTGATACAAAATATTGCAAAAAGGGGGGTGAAAATGTCACATAAGTCCCAAGAATTTGGTCCGAGGGGAGAATTTCAATCCATTAGAGTGATACCTTTTCTGAAACCATAGACATTTATCTATCAAGAGGTAAAAATCAGCTCATTTTTCCATAAAATTGAATTGAAAAGATCGAGGGTCATATCTATGTTGAAAAACACTACACTAATTTCAGGACCTATGGGCGGTACAGATGTGACAATACGGACTGTCAAACAGAAAAATGGCCTATAAAACTTGCAAAAAATAATCTTGATGTTCATATAAACCCACTTGGAAGGCTTAATTATTCTTCAGCTATATCTAAAAATCAATTTTATTGTACACAAACTTTCATATTTAAAAATTTCACCATGGCCAAAATGCAAAACTAAACTTCTAACTGTGTATTGCTACCTTAGTTTGTTTGTGAAAGACTTAAAATGTTTATTTTGCAACTTAAAGTGAAAAAAAAAGTAAAATATTATAATGGCAATAAAAAACTATAAGTTGAGAAAGACAGACAAAACAATTGCCAAAAGATAAAAATATAAACATACACATAACAGTATCTAACAATTATTGTCCCCAAGAGTTATCTGTCCTTACCTGAACATCCTTTGTACACATGACATAATCAGGAGCTATACATGTCTGTCCAGCATTACATGTCTTCCCCCATATAAGTCTGTTAGCTACAGCCTTGTAATCACAATTTTTATCTACATATACTGGACTGAAGAAAAAATAAAAAATGATCAACAGTTATTTTATAAAATATTTTCCATTTGAAGTGTCCAAGAACACAATTTGTATTATTGTTAGCATGTCAAAGTTTATACAGTCAATGAATTTCTACTACTGTGGGTTCATTTATTTTCGTGGGTACCAATTTTCGTGGATGTAGGAAAACTTACATGTTCGTGGATTTTTAATTTCGTGGTTTTGCCGAAGTCTGCATACAAGCCTTTAGAAATTTTGTCATTCGTTGAACATTTATTTTGGTGGTTCACCTGTACCCACGAAATCCACGAAAATTGGTATCCAACGAATAATAATGAATCCACAGTATGCAAATATCAAATTCAAATAATACCACAGTTGCAGTATAAATATAGGACTAAAAGGAAATGAGGGGTACACATCAATAAGACAGCAATACAACAAAACAATTAACCAAAAGACATCTAGAGGGCAACATACATGTACAGTCTTGAACAATGGAGAGATGTTTATATAATATGTCAAACTCTAAACAGTGCACAGTCCAAACAAGTTGGGAATAATCTTAATAGAAAGACATAGACATCACAATGTAAACCATTTTGAACATAAACATGCTATGAACAAATTGTCAATTACCCACCCTAAATATTTTTTAGAGGATATATCCAAAATTTGTTAACATTGGGCATAAAACAAATGTACTCAAAATTTATCACCTTAAAATGTAAAATGAACTTTAACTACCTTTTGCCTCCAAGTTCTAATGTGACTGGAGTAAGATATTCACTAGCAGCTTTCATGACAATTTTTCCTACAAATGTGTTCCCTGTGTAGAAGATGTAGTCATATCTCTCCTTCAGCAAAGCTGTTGTTTCTGTTACTCCTCCATTTACAACTTTCACACAGTCCTGTCAAAAAAAAAAGTCAAGTGTTTAGTTATGCTCTTATTGAGAGTATTTAAGCAATCAATAGTTTTTTTTCAAAAGGCATCTAGGGATGTTAGAGACTAAAAATATATATATAATTGTGGGTACAAATGTGTATAAAATACCTTATAACTTATTCACTCTTTTGATGTAGCTTGGCTTTGCAAAATTTTCATAAGAGTTGTCTTTCTTTGCACAATGTACTATGATTATTATTGCAAATTCACATGTTTTTCTCATTTAATACAGTTTTTTTTTCCATCTGTTTAAAGTTTCTTTTAATTTCTCAAAAGAGCTAAATGTGATCCTTGTCTTTACACATGATAAAACACAATCAAATATGCATTGGTTAACTGTTATGATACAGACTTCTGGTTTTAGCTGAACACAAGTTTTTAATCTATTGTAAATATCTAGTTTGTAAATGGTTTCCACTTTAAAAAAAAACGTTTTCAACTCCCTCAGGCATAGTTGACCATAGCTGAATTTAGCTTTTCCTGTTAGGTCCCTTTTGGACATTTAGCTTCTCACGTATTCTTATACATCGTTATGTTGGCTTTCAAATTTATAGGTTTGAGCGTTTCTGATGGAGGTGAATTCAGAGGACCAAATTTATAAACTGTCATTTTTCATTTGCTTTAAAATTCCTTCTCAGGAAATATCCAATGGTAGGAAGAGGACATGTTCTTGGCCTTTACTTACTGTAGACCAAAGGATTTATCAAAAAAGCCTAGTGAAGAAAGAAAGTGGAACTTTGGAACCTATCAAAACGCTTGAGGATTAAAGAGTATAAAGTTAAAAAAAAAAGAATAATGATAACAGACCAGAATATTGTGTTTTTCACCCTTTGAAAAACACAATTTACATTTTGTTGAATCTTCCACCATAAGTAATAAAATCAAATATTCAAAACTCAAAATTATTGAAAACTTGTTGCTGTTTAAAATCAGTCAAATCTAATTTCACCATTTTCTATTCCAAATAATTATGATGTCATAAAGTTGTTTCAAGTTTTACTATGATGATGTATTTTTATATTTTAGCATTTTTATGCCTAAATTACTGTAAAAAATAGACTTCATAGTGTATACATGACAAGCAACCAAAATTGGTCACAGCTGTTAAAAAATTTCTGATATCCAATGCCCAGAAATATGGAAAAAGAAATATAAGAAGGATGTAAGGAAGAGATCCATTTGCATATAGTGTGTGAGCTACAGAAACAAATAATTTATTCTGAAATAAAAACTGCAATACATATAATTGTGTTTCAAATTCATAGATTTTAACACTAGGAAAATATTTCAGAATATCTTTAATGTGAATATCTAGTTTCAATAAATTTCAAAGTGACTACAATTTTCAGTGTATTATTGAAATTGTTTATAGAGTTGGTGGTCAAGGCATAAATTTGACATAGGGAATCAATTTGGAAAAGTAAATAAGTATAACAAAAATACAGAACTCCAAGGCAAATTCAAAAGGGGAAATCCATAAAAACTGACAAAATCTAACGCTATCAATCAACAGAACAAGTGAAAAACAACTGCCATATTCCTGAATTGGCAAATTATACCTATTTATATATTTTATTGAAATCCTATCACAAATAGATGTTTCTTAATATTTCTGAATTTTTTAAAGTTTTTACTGCAAATTTAAACCTGAGAATCATTTTGGATAAGAAAATTGCACCTATATATCAATTTTGGTTGCAATCATAGAAAAAAAGATGTTTCTCAAAATTCCAGTTTCTTAAGCAAAAGTTTTTTCCAAAATTTTTTTTTCTAATTTCACAAAAATAAATTTGTCACTGGGAATCAAATTGGAATAGATACATGTAGTGATTATTGCCACACAATTTTCCCAAAAACAAATATCATGCATAACTGTGCAAAATTTAATTGGTGTCCTATCTATACTCTTGGATTTGTTTGCGTAGACCGACAGACAAAGTATCCTTGATGCAGAGCCCTGACATGCCTAATAACTGTCAATTAATTCATTAAATTGATTTGTATTCCATTATAATTATTTAACCATTTATTGTTTGTACATGCAGTTATTTTTGATAACTTCAGCTATATCTCTCATTTTGGAATATTTTTGTGTCTGTATAAAGCTGAGTGTAAGATAACTATTGCATAAAAACATAAGATAAAAAATACATGTATATGGTGTGTAAAGAATGGACAAAAGTACCAAATATCTATTCAATTTAGTAAAATTATAATAAAATTCAACAATATCTCTTTAATCAAGAACCACAGAACCAATTAAATATTTTGTGTGTCTTCTATTACTGATGAATTCACATAATTCAAACTATCAATCTCGAAAAAAAAAATGACTTCCCTTTTATGTTGCCATATCAATATTGGTAACATATTATATTCGTCTGAATACAACTTACATTGTCCAAATATTTTGGAACTAATTTCTCAAGCAACTGTGCTGTGTTCCATGATACTTCTGAGGGCTTCAATAAAACACAATTACCTAAAAGAAAAGGAAACATTACAACAGCTTTGACCAGTAGATTTTGTATATTCCATCCATCCACCATGATAGTGGACATAAAATCAGCAAAACATCAGAATGGTCACATTTGCACACTCTATGTGCAGGCATGATATTTATTCTATCATCATATGAATTGATCCACATCAAATACCTTGCAAAAACTAGTTATGCTTCTGTATTAAATATTTTAACATAATCTAGTGTTAAGTTTGTGTGGACTGCCCCCTTTGGACAGGACTGAGATGGAATTCACCTGACCTGGAAAGGTATTCCAGAGAGTAAATGAATAAAGTTAAATTTGAATCACTGAAATCAGTGCCAATCAAATAGTAGTGGTCATATAAAATTTTACAAAAATAATTAAATGAACTAATGGCACTAAACCTGCATTTGCTCAGTAACTTTCATAATACAATCATCATTTTTTTTTCATTTTGTTTTTTGGTTTGTTATAAAAAATTGAAATTATGTTGCTGAAAAAATCCATAAAAGTATGTTGCAACTTGGTAAAATGGAGGCAAATTCTGGAGAACAACCCCTGCAGTTTGTTTCTTAAATTGCAGTTTTTTAATTAAGGAAAAGAATTGCATATGTTCATGGACTCCATCTACCAGCAGATTACTAAAATGAATTATGAGTTAATATTTGTTTTCTGAAATTAAGCTATTTAGTTGATAAAGTTTTGTTTCAACTTATTTTTTTGACATTTTTGTATGTAAATAAACTACAACACTTTTTAATAAATAATCCCAAATGTTGTATTGTTCCTATTACATACATGTATAGTGCACTAATAAAATGTGTTAGCAATATGCAAGGCATATATAAATACAAATGCAAGCTGCAAAAAGGTGTAGAAGAACATTGTGCATAATTCACTGTACTATTTAAAAGACAAGCTTGTTATGTAATAGGAACAACAAAATATTTTGGATTGTCAATAACCTTGAAAGATTTGACTTTACCTGCTGCTAGAGCCCCAAATAATGGCAAAATGGTAAGCTGTATAGGATAATTCCATGCCCCTATCACAAGGGCTACACCGTAAGGTTCTTTCTTTATATAAGCTGAGTCCATCAAATTCAATAGTGACTTTTTAACCTACAAAATGCATCTAAAATGGTATTAAGATTAGTACCTGCAGCAATTGCACCAACCATTGGCATAATAGTTAGTTGTATAGGGTAATTCCATGCACCAATCACAAGGGCTACACCGTAAGGTTCTTTCTTTATATAAGCTGAGTCCATCAAATTCAATAGTGACTTTTTAACCTACAAAATGCATCTAAAATGGTATTAAGATTAGTACCTGCAGCAATTGCACCAACCATTGGCATAATAGTTAGTTGTATAGGGTAATTCCATGCACCAATCACCAGAGCCACACCAAATGGCTCTTTCTGTATATAACAAGTATCCATTATGTTTGCTAGACTCTTCTTTACCTAAAATTTGTTGCCAAATAACACCATTTAATTCTAAGTGTATACAATGTAATGACCTATACAAAGGACACCACTATATTTTCACAAACTTTTTGTCAAAGATTCAGAATAAAAAGACATTATTTCACTGTTCAGAGCTGGTACACACATATTTTAGATCAAGGATAAAGGAAGTGTCAGAAAAAATGTTTGATGACAACTCATCCCTTAGACTCAATTACAATTTATTGAAATTTCAAACTGGTATGAAATTTTTCTGTATTCCCAAGGCATTAATGCTCTTTACAATCACTTAACTATAACTCAAACTCCTCATTGAGTGACAATAAATAAACAAGGGGCTGTCAGGAGCCTGTATCACTCCCCCTGACATTTTTTCTAAAAAAATTAATTGATATGTAGATGACTTGGTGAAAATTGGAGGTAGGTACATGTAGATCTGGACTTTCTGGGCACTGTCAGATTTTCTCTATCATTAGAACAGAGAAAAAAAACTTTTTCGTAGATGCCCTGAAAAAAGTCAAATAACAAAAATACCGAATTCCAAGGAAATTCAAATCGGAAAGTCCTTTACAAAATGGCAAAATCAAAAGGTCAAACACATCAAACGAATGAAAAACAACTGTCATATTCCTGACTTGGTAGAGGCATTTACTTATGTAGAAAATGGTGGAATAAACCTGGTTTTATAGCTAGCTAAACCTCTCACTTGTATGACAGTCGCATAAAATTCCACCATATTGACAACAATGTGTGAACAAAACAAACAGACATAATAGGTAAAAATGTAAAAATCATTCACCCAAAGTTTGGTTAATTGGTTCAGTAGTTTCAGAGAAGATCTTTGAAAAAATTTACAGAGACAACGTCCGCTGGCACTGGAAGACCACAGATGCCAAGTTATGACAAAAGCTCACATGGCCTTTCAGGTGAGCTAAAAAAACGGCTTAACACGGTGACCTTAAAAACAACAAATTCTGAAAGACAAACTAGTAAAGGATAGAGTGACAGAATGATGCTTCACCCCTTATTTGTGGGAAAAATTCTACAAATCAGTTATGTTATCTCAGATCTTCTCAAAACTGTTTCTCTATATTAAACATAAATACATCTCAATATATTACAAAAATATACCGTGGTTTACCAAAAGTAAACTTCAATAGTACCGATATCCATGATATCTGTTTCCTTATATTTATACCTTTTCTGGTTTCATCCATTCCTTTAAGTTGTTCATTGTGTCAACCAAATCATTTCTACAAAAGTCAATTTCGAACACAACAGCTTCAAGTTTGGGCTACAAAAGAAAACAGTGAACAACTATTTACAGGTACTTTTTCTTTTTACATGTTACATGTATATGTAAGTCCAATACTGTAAACCAACTTATTGTCATGAATACATCGTGATCATTTTATGCCATTGGAAATATAAGCCATTAAGAAAATAAACTGTTATCACAGAGATATGTCTCGCCTTTTTGTAATTTTGATAATGCAAATGTTGAAATTAAAATAGCAATACTTTAACATGTAAGTTATGCAAATATTCAAAGTCGATGAACCATGACTGAAGGTACATTTGTTGTACATGGCTAAACAATCTCCATGGAATGAGATGTGCCAATGCTAATACAACTGCATACCAAATACCATTTACTTATTATAAGTCATTCACTTTAAAAAAAAACCTAAACACAAACATTAACTTGTAAACTATGTAAAAGTTTCAAAGTCAATGAACCATGATCAGGGGTGGGGCTATATAATCTCCATGGAAAAGAGACTGGCAAATGCCAATACATTTACATACCAAATATCATTGACTTAACATTAGCAGTTCATCTTAAACTGATCTAATCACAAACTAATACATGTAAACTAAGCAAAAGTTTCAGTCAATAGACCATGACTGAGGGGGCGGGGCCAAATATTCTCCATGGAAATGAGATGTGCTAATGCTTATACAACTGAACACCAATTAACATTGGCCTACCACTAATGGTTCCCCTTGAACTGACCTAATCACAAACTAAAACATGTTAACTTAGCAAAATTTTCAGTCTATAGACCTACCACTAGTGGTTCCCCATAAATTGACCTAATCACAAACTAATACATGTAAACTATGAAAAGTTTCAAAGTCAATAGACCTTGACTGAGGGGGCGGAGTCAAATAATCTCCATGTTAATGAGATGTGCTAATGCTAATACAACTGCATACCAAATATCATTGACCACCACTACTGGTTCACCATGAACTAGACCTAATCACAAACTAATACATTGTTGACGCCGCCGCCAACGCCAACAACGACGCCGGAAACAGCATACCTTTGTCTCGCTTTTTTACTCCGTCAAGGCGAGACAAAAATCAAAGTTTGACATTTTCACGACTACTAATATTTCACATAATTTTTTGTATAAGCCAAAATTGCCAAAAAAGTTGGTTTAACAGTATTATAATTGTGGTGGTGGTGGTATGTCGTAAATACTACTTCAAGAAAAGAATTTAAAATTCTTCTACATGTACAATCAAGTTTGTGTGCTCCACAGAGAGTCATATAGTAAAAAATTCGTAAGGGTTCCACGGAACCCAGTGTCTCGCCTACTTTTTCTGTTAATTGCAGGCTCAACAAAAATGAGGAAGTAAATCAATAAAAATATTCCTCTTGATACTATCTTTTGATTGTAAGAAGCTTCTGTCCAAGTTTGGTAAAAATCCAGGATAGTTTATGATTCTAATAAATGTTTAAAAACTTTAACTGCAGACTGAATGTAATGTTAACTGGAAGAAAACAAAATTTCCTTCTAGATACTAGCATTTGATCATAAACAAGCTTCTGTCCAAGTTTTGTACAAATCCAAAATAGTATAAGAAAGTTATTAAAATTTTAAAAACTTTAACCACAGAGTGAATGTGTTGTTTCCTGGCAGCAAATCTAAGTCCATTTAAAAGTAAAATACGAAAAAAATTGATTTATTTTTTTACAAAATTTCCTTCTAGATACTAGCTTTTGATCATAAACAAGCTTCTGTCCAAGTTTGGTACAAATCCAAAATAGTATAAGAAAGTTATTAAAATTTTAAAAACTTTAACCACAGAGTGAATGTGTTGTTTCCTGGCAGAAAATCTAAGTCAATTTAAAAGTAAAATAAGGAAAAAATTGATTTTTTTTTTACAAAATTTACTTCTGGATACTATCTTATGATCATAAACAAGCTTCTGTCCAAGTTTGGTAGAAACCCAGGATAGTTTAAGAAAGTTATTACAATTTTAAAAACTTTAACCACAGAGTAAATGTAATATTTCCCGGCAGAAAAACTAAGTCCATTTATAAGTAATATACAGAAAAAATGGAATTTTATTTTTACAAAATTTACTTCTGGATACTATCTTATGATCATAAACAAGCTTCTGTCCAAGTTTGGTAGAAATCCAGGATAGTTTAAGAAAGTTATTAAAATTTCAAAAACTTTAACCACAGAGTGAATATTTGTAGACGCCGCCGCCGACGACGACGACGCCGACGGAATGTAGGATCGCTATGTCTTGCTTTTTCGACTAAAGTCGAAGGCTCGACAAAAATCATATCATAACCACATTATGTTAACAGCTTAAGGCCTCTTCTGAACATTTGAAGGCCCCTGCTATATATTGGTTACCTAAACTACACAATGGATTTCAATTAATGTAATCTAGATATAACTGGTAAATTATTAAGTCAGGGATTTCTTTACAACAAATTACTTAAAACCTTTACTAAATTCTTCCATAGATACAAAGATTTGGTTTGGAAGTTTGGCTGTTCCTGTATAAACTTATTTCAAACGGGATAGCACATCCTAATTTTTACGGAGATGTTGTTTACCGGAAATTTAGATACAATCAGGGAAAACTTATCGATATCCTTTAAATAAACTTATTCTAAAAGTTTACCAATTCAACACTGTAGTTAGATCTTTGAATATTGCTTTTATTGGTGTAAATATTGATTTTTTTATCAGTAAATAAAAATCAAACTAAACAGTATTTTTATAAACATATTCACATTCATGGCTCTACAATCTGTCGATACCTGTATCTTGGCATTTCACAATGTCATGTTTTTCTCTGACTATTAATGACGTCTTTACACTAAATCCATTGGATGTTGGATGTGTACTGATTGATTTTTTAGTCTTAGATGCATGATTTTTTATTAGTTGTTATTGGCTTTGAACTAGCTGTCAGTAACTGTAATTCAGTGGTTGTCCTTTGTTGCTGTATATCATATTTGTTTTTCGTTCATTGTTTTGTAAATAAATCAGGCCGTTACTTTTCTCATTGAATTGTTTTACATTTGTCATTTCCAGGCCTTTTATAGCTGACTTTGCAGAATGGGGTTTGCTTATTGTTGAAGGCCGTACGATGACCTTTAGTTATTAACTTCTATGTCATTTGGTCTTTGGTGGAGAGTTGTTTCATTGGCAATCATACCACATCTTATTTTTATAATAGGTTTATGCCTTTAATATTTGATATGATTTTCAAACTATTCATGATGACCTAAAGCAACTTTTAGTATGAGAAATGCTATTCAGATGAGAAAAGATTTATTTCATTCAATATTAATTTTTCTTACATACTTATCATAATAATATTTACATGTTTAAATAATCCTTACAAGGTTTCCATTGCAAAATCCAGGTACACAAAAATTGTCCTCAGTATATTTTTTTTCATTAACAAAAGAGAATTAAAATTTAAGGCTATCTATAAATGTTGTAAGTTCATCAAAAGTTTCGACTATATGTAATGTATCATAGGTTCTAAATGATACAATGTATTTTTTTTTTATTTCTGAAATAGACTGTACATGAGAGACGTACATTTAAAAAGAAAATCTACAAGTAATTTTCTTAAATCTTGTGCTACTACTTTGGTGGTTTTGTCTTTCTTGTGGTAGCCAGCTGATGGACTTGAGTGTGGGAGGTCGTGAGGTGAAAATATGTTTTTGCTGCTTCTCCGCTTAGCATGCAGCTCTTTGGAGAAAGAGCAAAGATGGAGTCAGAATAATGTGTCCAGGTAGAGTGACATGTCTTCCTGTGAACAGTTACCTTGTGATCTAGCATGTTAAAAATCCATCTAAGCATGTTGGTAAAGTACATGTACACTTTGTACAAAGCAGCTAGGTTTCATATTCATTTTATATATTATTTACATGTTCTTGTCATGATGTAAGTCTATAACGGTACCAGTTATTATTTACCAGTGGACATTCAACACCAATCAATCAAATGTTAACTGTATACATGTATTTTGTTTGAGGGCCTCAATGAAAATTAGACGTCCTAATTGAGTTACCCTCTTTAAATAATTATTATATTATCATCAACCATGTGTTAATTGTCTCCTTATTGGGACTTGCATAAAGTTATAATTAAAGATATATACCATGTATAATATACAAAATTGCAGAATCTAACAAAATTTGGGGTATATATTTAAAAGGTACATGTATATCATGTACATGTACATGTATATCAAATCCAATAGTGTAACAATATTTTATCTTTTTTGAAGTTTTGAAAAACAATGTTACATTGAACTGCAAATGATAATACCATATTACTATATATATAATAAAATACATACATGACATGCATGAAATGTGCATATCTATAAATATGTACCTTGTGTAAATCTTTATTTAATGCAGCTGCAATTTCTTCTCTATTTTCGTCCATCAGTTTGAGAACTCCCTCTAATTGTTGTCTTCTCCATTCATATGATTTAGTTTTTCCAGTCCTGAAGGTAGTTTTCATTCCATTCACAAGCTACAAAACAAAACAAGGAAAACTCTCAATAGTTTTGTCTCATTTATCATGTATCATATGGAACAATGTACTGTCATTTTGAAACATTGCTTTTAAATACAAAGGAAGATGTCAACTTGGTCAATAGTCTTTCATGTATCAGCAACATCATATGTCAGGTAGATACATGTATTGTCATATTGTGATACGCTCACATGACAAACATCACAAATCTACATCAAAAGATAATAAACTATTGATAGGATATATATGCCTGCATGGAAAAAATAACAATTTGACCTATAATGTACAGAGTCAAATATCATTCCTGACTGTACTACACTACACCATCCTATTAACCAATCATTCATAAATTACTAATCAGTAATGTACATGTATTGTGTATATACATTTCAGGTATCATTCATCCCACTAGGAATATGTTGACTCTCAATTATGACTTATACTCAACAAATAGCTGAAACAAAGTGAATTTCATCAATATGCCAGTTGTACATTTTCCCCCTTTAGATGGATGTGATTGGGAATCCTAGGACCTAGATGCAGCAATTGCAGCTGCCCTAACCACTGCTCTTTAGATTCATGACAGAACTGTCCACACACTTCTGGCTCAACCAGCAACGCACAAATTTAAATTTGGACTCGCATACTACAGCTGCAGGTTGTGATCCAGACCAATGGTCAGCATTAATCACCAGGCAGTGGTATATGCATGAAAAGCATGAAAAGGGGATGACAATCACAAACAATGTATTGCCCACTGCCCTTTTCTACTGCTGTGACACTTATCTTTTTATAGACATCATGTGTGACCTCATACTAGTGATAGAAATCAAACATTTTCGGGCTAATTATGTTAAAAAAAAATACACATCTGAATTCTGGCCTGGACAGTACACCTTAGGGATTTACATGTATATACATTGTGTATATATGTTTTTTTACATGCAGAGCTCTGAGGTCCTCTGTTTATAAAAAAACATGTATATATACATTGTATATTTCAGTCAGAACTCAGACATAAACAAGTCAGAATCTTGTTAGACTCATGCATTTAGTCAGATTATGCATTTTTACAAAGGAGTTGTACATAGCATTTCTAGACTTAATAAAGTCAGAATAAGCCAGACTTTAATTTAGGTCAGACTCTGTTCTGTGAAATTTTCAGTATTTTAAGATTTGTAGCTATAGCAAATGTATAGGAAACCTACTGAATAAATAACCATGAATATTTGTATGATGCTTTATAATATATATCAAAATCTATCTTTACATGCTGGTTTTCAAGTAAACCTACTAATCATGCTAATTATACATAACAATTTTCCCCAATTCCAATTCATCACAAAAACCTACTTACATAAACTGTTATCACAGAGATATGTCTCGCCTTTTTGTAATTTGATAATGCAAATGTTGAAATTAAAATAGCAATACTTTAAAATGTAAGTTACGCAAATATTCAAAGTCGATGAACCATGACTGAAGCCAGTGAAGGTCCATGGCTAAACAATATCCATGATGTGCCAATGCTAATACAACTGCATACCAAATACCGTTGACTTATTATAAGTCGTTCCCTTTATAGGAACCTAAACACAAACATCAACTTGTAAACTATGTAAAAGTTTCAAAGTCAATGAACCATGATGAGGGGGCGGGGTTATATAATCTCCATGGAAAATATACTTGCACATGCCAATAAATTTGCATACCAAATATCATCATGATCATTGGCTTAACATTAGCAGTTCATCTTAAACTGATCTAATCACAAACTAATACATGTAAACTAAGCAAAAGTTTCAAAGTCAATAGACCATGACTGAGGGGGCAGGGCCAAATAATCTCCATGGAAATGAGATGTGCCAATGCTAATATAACTGCATACCAAATATCATTGACCTACCACTTGTGGTTCACCATAAACTAGACCTAATCACAAACTAATACATTGTTGACGCCGTTGACAAAACGGCATACCTATGTCTCGCTTTTTGACTCCATCAAGGCGAGACAATAAAATGGTTAATTACATATGAACATGATGAATCCATTTTTTTAGAGTCTAATTCATATTTTTTATTGATAAAAAAAAGTGTTTGTGGAAGACATTTTAACATTGTGATGTACTTTTAAATATGGGTGCTTGGTCCAAAAAGATAGGCATTTTATGTTATATTCTGTCATGTACATGTTATACATGTTATAACTCAAAATCTGAAATATTTTTGTTAAGACAAAAATATGTTAAGACAAAAATACGGCATGATATCGCATCTGACTTGTGGAAGTCAGTTTTTGTTTTAAAAATTATGGGAGGTTAGTCTCAGGTTACTCATGACACCAAATATTCTGACTTCCATTAGTCAGAAAATTCTGACTTGTTTATGTCAGACCTCTGACTGTATATATAATAGGACTTTATATTGAGGACTAAATGTAAACTGTCTGCCAAGATGGTATGCAAAACATTGTCCTGTGACAGTGTTCCCGCCTGCCCTAAATAGAAGGGCAGCCCGTCCTTGGTGCCCTTACCCCCGCCCTTCTGCCCTCCTGACATAGGAGCACTCAACAAATTTAATTTTAACAATGATGGAGAAAAAAGTAACTGTTTATATCTTCTGAAATATATTATTGCATCAATGTAATATGATCATCTCCTGTCTCATCTGTTATATTTATAAAACTCCTCACTAAGGAGCACTTTGGTGTGCACTTAAAAAAACTTTTTTGTAACAATTCAAATGATAATAAATAACTCTCAATAACATATATACTATATGTTTGATCAAGTAATTTAAATGTAGATAATTTAATTAATTAAACATTCAATTTTGCATGTATAACTCCATCTTTCAAAAAAACTACTTGTTTATTTTGGTACAAGTTATAAAACATTGAAATTTCTGATGATTATTTTTCTTACCAAATATACAAGTTTGTTTAGATTAACATCAAAATGATATGCTTTGCTTCATGGTATGATAATTTGATAAAAAAAAATGCTTACTGGAACCAACATCAAGAACACATTAATTTCTGAATATGGTTTAAATACAACTAATTTTTTCCAGCTGAGCCTAGCAATATTCAAGGTAATTTAAACACTGTCCAACATTGCCCTTAAAATCTTGGTTTAAAGGCTAAAGTGCCCTTTCAGACAACTAGCACCCTTCTGTCCACTCTGGATCTCGGAATTGAATGGACCCAAGGTGATGGAACTATACAATAATGTTAACCACCATGTGAAGATTTGCAATTGGGGTTGGCACTTTCAAGATGGCCGCCGTTACCATGGAAACAGCAAAAATGTCCAAAAAAACAAAATGCTCAAAACTTATTGAAACTTCACATAAATAATGACTGGCATACGCAGAAATGACATTTGACTTTGGAATTTCCATGGAAACAGCAAAAAATTCAAAAATTTCAAAATGCTCCAAACTTAAAAGAAACTTTACAAAAATGTTATTTGGCATGTTAAGATGCACTCTTTGACTTTGGAATTTTTAAAAATGGCTACTGTTGCCTTGGCAATGGGGGAAGGGTGCCATCCGTTATTGCTAGCAATTACAACTCTAGTTATTATTATTATTATACTTCCACCTAATTTTGTCCGGCAGTTTTCTCAGAGCCAATGGAACCAATCTAAATGATTTGTCACTATAACTAGGAACCCTGATTTTTGTGTTGCAGTGGAACTTTGGAACTAAAAATGGCTGCCGTTACCATGGAAACCGAAAAAAGGTGAAAAAATAAAATTTTAGGGCTTGGTGATTTATTTGGGTATGCTTTAACTTAAAATCATCAAATTTTAATACAATGTAGGTGTCCACTATATACTGGTTTTGGATGATTTTGGCAATCATCGGCACTACTATGTTGCCATGGAAACTACACCAAAAATTTCAAAAATATCAAAATGTTCCAAACTTAATGAAACTTCACAGTAACGCAGTCTTCGAATTTAACCACAAGTCCGACGGTCCTGGCCAGTAAAATCGGCCGCGGACTTGTCAAATTTGTTGTTCAAAAGTCCGACTGGGCTTGCAGATTTTTCGGTAGTTGGTACGCTCTTTGCTTCCTTGGTAATTAGTGATACCAATAAATCGGTTTCTATTTTGCGCTTTTTCACATGAATTAAACGTATTGCGATTAATACTGGATCGAGACATTGTATTAAATGACAGATCATTGGTTTCCTTCCCCCTAACTTATATTCCCCTGACAAAAATGTTTCTTCGGCAATGTACTGGCGGAGCTGGCCTGGGGAAGCCGTTGTACCCCCCCCCCCCCCCCCCCCCCCCCCGCCGATGAAAATGTTAGGAAGAGAAAGTACTACGATACATGGTAGCGTCAGTTCCTTTCCAGTTGGTTAGAAGGTAGGCCGTGGTTGATGTATGATGAGTTGAAAAACAAAATGTTCTGTTCATGGTGCACAGAACATAAAATGGATTCACAGTTTGTGACCCCAGGTAGTGACAACTTTAAACTGGATACTATTAAAATTCACGAGAAGAATAAGAGTCACAAATTTATTGCTCTAAATATGAGAAGCCTGCAGCTGAACCATCAGAGGCTGAAAAATGTTACAGCATTCTAGACAAGGCACCTTCTTTCTAAATTTTTAAGAGAATAAAATTATTATAACAGCTACTTTTTACTTTTTTCTCCAATTGTCAATGTTATTCCTATTAAATTTATCTTCAAAACATGACACTCAAAGCTCTCAGAATGTAGGATTTTGCATCTAATTTTTCAAAAGTGTGAAGACTGGTAACGATGAGCAACATTTGTAGATGTGGTATTTCCAAAATGGCTGCCGTTACCATGGAAACAATGCAAAAAAGGTCAAAATGCTTCAAAAACCTTAAAGTAGCATTTCCTCTCTTAAAATGGTAGGTCAAATCCATTGAAACTTTGATAGTATGTTCCCTCCCATGTACCAATGTGGCATCTGTGATTAAATTTTGGGAATGGTCTCTGTCACCATGGAA